TAAAGTTGGTCTTATTAGTGACCACCATATACACTCCATCAGATTTAATTTGATTTTCTATTGAATATAAAATAGTTGTTTTTTACAGCCTGGGTAATTTTTATTAGGTGGTATAGATTTTAACTCGATAACAAATGAGAATGAATACAAAACAGCAAATTCATTCAATGTTAGCTGTTTAAGAATGGGTACAAGGAATTTGGCCTTTTTTATCTGTGCATTCTGATTGCTGAAATGATAGGGTGTAATGGATGATTCTGTTTATAAAACTTAGAGATTATACATTATACTGGGTCATGATCTGGAAGGATATAATTGGTTGAGTGCATTGTCAGAAGCATTTTAATTTTTTTTCCCCATTCCAATGGTGAGGGAAGGCATATCTGACATGAGGGGTTTCGATTTTTCAAGGTATTCTGCATTGTTTAATAACATTACTCCATTCTCTTTGTTCAAGTATGTTAAGAGTATATTTGGTTTGTATGAAATGTCATTTTGGCTGAAAATTCTTCCTTTTTAAGGGAAAAAGAATGATGAGAGGAATTACAATTGTAAAAAGATGCAAGTGCATGGATTTTGAATAAGTCTCAGGATAGAGTAGATTATTTGGAGTGTAAATATATAAGCTTGTTATGTTCTTATGTGTAATTTAAAAGGACACTTATAATTAGCAAAAGTTACATTTGGTGGTTAAAGAGAGAAATTAAGACCTTTTCCATGGGTTGTTTTATTGGATTTGGTTGAAGTAACATTAAAGATTAATTTTTTAACATTATTGCACTTTTTGTGGCTATTAAACTTACAAAGCTTCACGTCTTTCATATTTTGAAAATGCTTATGATGAAAAATTGTTTTTGGTATTACATGTAGAAAATAAACATAGTAAATGTATAAAGTTTAGCCTGGTAATGATGTTTGTATGATCAATTTTGGTCCTGTTGAACTTTACGTAAAGGTGGCTTTATATTGGTGTTTCTATTTGAGTTCTTCTTCCACCAAATGTTTTGACATTGATTGCAGACTGGAGCATTATGTAGGTGAGATTTCAGAAGTTTAACGTGAAGGAACTTGGGTACAACATTTTTAGTTTTACAAATTAATATTATAAACTCTGTATCTAAACCAACCTTCTTTAGTTTGAAGTCAGATTTATCTAATGCATGGAATGATGATAATGCATGTCAGGTTTTATATGGCTGTATTCTTTATAGTAGGTATCTGTGACATGTTGGCGATAAATGTTAACAATAAACAGACAGCACACAATCTACTTGTTTTAAAATAATATATTCAAAACAAGTCAAATGTATGTACAAAAATTTGTAACTCTATTGGTTATCACAGTTGTATCTAAAACTAAATAATTCTCTTTTCTTGTCAAAATTCACACAGGTGGGTTCAGTTACTTAGGAACACGTTTTGAAAAGACAAATTATTCTCCTTGTTACTGCTAAACTGTGAAACTCTCTTTAGATATCACCCGTTATGACTAAACTAATAATCAAGCAGTCTAACTTCACTTTCACTAACTTATGTTTTCTGAATTACTTTAACTTATTTAGAAATTGTCTATCATGGCTAAACTGCCAATCACTCAGTCTAGATCTATCTAATTATCTCTCATGTAATTTGCTTTCTTCACTTCCTCTATGTTTCTGCATGTATTTATAACAGGCAACAGAAAAATCTAAAAATATTTAGTCCTCCAGTGACAACAAAATTACACACAACAAGAAAAACTTTGAGTAAGATGAAGTCAACAATATTATGAAAGCCTAGAACAACAGTTAAACTGCATACACAATGTACGACTCATACTGAGTTATGTAATTAAACTTGTCACAACTATCACTTTTAAAATAATTAACATTTAACACACTTGTTATGAAAACCAAACAATCATTAACACTAAATTTTTAAACAAACTAAGTAACAATTCTTAAACCAAACAGTCCAACAATAAGCCCCTCTTCAAAAAATATATTTACAGTATTATTTTATACTATATACAAAGACTGTTCTCAGTTCATACACAAAGTCTCCTAATATAGTATGCACCAACATTTGTAGTTACTTTGTAGTATGCATAAGGTATCTGGTAGGGCTTCACCCTGACTGGATCCTTTGTTTTCATCTTGATCCTGTGTTGCTGGAGGTTTTTCTTGTGTAATCTGTCTGTATACTGGCACAGTTGATCTTGTACCCTTTTCTTCTTCTTGCCAGTGAGTTCTTCACTTATGTTGATGTCCTTGTACATCTCATCTCCACCCGGTGATCTTAGGCCTAGTAGGTCTTTATCTTCTATAATGAAGTCAATGTCTTCAGATACTGCTTCTGTGACAGCCACACCTGCCATGTCGATTTGTACCTCAATAGGTGCACCTGTAAGGTTTTCTCTTTTGAAGTACTTCTTTAACAGCTTGGCATACTAGACCTTGGTCTTCTCATCCACTATCACCTTATAGTGCATTCTGTTGACCACTTCATGTACTGTGAAAGGTCCTTTCCACTGCTGGATGAGTTTGTTGTTGGGTATTGGTAGCAGAATTAAGACCTTCTGTCTGACCTCAAAATGTTGATCCTTACCTTCTTGTTATATAAATACTTCATACTGCTTTTGATGTATTTAGCTTCATCAGTAAAACAGCTTTGATAGATCTGGTTCAATACTCCTTTATGGTCTGCTGTTTTGTAAGTCTCTTTCCATTTTTTATTGTGCTTGACTATCTCTCTGGGACTGCCTCAAAGTTTCTGCAGAGAAGTGTCTTTCTTCTGCACTTCCTTCAGCCCCCACGAGCCAACATTTCAGGATGTCACTTTTCAAGACTTTAAGGGTCTTGTTATTTTGCTTGCTTTTCATCCCTTGAGCTCGTGTGATGACTGCAGTTGCTTCAGCAGTCTTTTTTTTTGTCTAGTTCCATCAAATTTTTACTATCCAATCACCAAGTTGGATATTGGTGCCTCAAGGTTTCCTATATATTATGGAGTATCCACTTTTAATTTTAATAGTGCTTTCATCACTTCCTCTATGTTTCTGCATGTATTTATAACAGGTGGCAGAAAAATCTAGGAATATGTAGCCCTCTAGTGACAACAATATTGCACACAACAAGAAAAACTTGGAAGCTTATAATAAGAGGATGTCAACAATATTATGAAAGCACACACAGTAATTAAACTGCAAATACAACATACGACTCATACCGAGTTACGTAACAAAACTTGTCACATCTACCACTTTTAAAATAATTAACTTTTAACACTCTTGTTATGAAAACTAAACAATCATTAAACGGTAAATCACTAAACACACTAAAAAACAACTCTTCAACCAAACAGTCTTGTATATCCAACAATGCATTTTGACCATATTTTCAATTAATGTATTGGAAAAAATAATAAAATTAACCAACAGTATTATTGAGAATTTAGAAACAGTGTCAATGAAACAAAAGAAATAAATTTAAGAACATTTACATTTTGTAAATAAACATTCTTTATATAAAGTTGGTTTATATTTAATAGAAAATTAAATCTGATAGAGTGGTTATGGGGTACCTATTAGTACCAATTCTTAGTAATAGTTGAGCCATCAAGAACAATCTTGGTTGAACCTCTACCCAGAGTGCTTCAAACCAGTATTTTACAAATTCTGAGTTGATTACACTTGTGACACTTTTTGAGCAAAGGATAAAGTTCAACATTTTCTTGAGTTCTTAAACTTGCAGCATTCTTATGTGGAATATACCTGAGAATTTGAAGAACAGAATATTTTAATTTTTAAGAGTGTTAATTATTCAAGATATTTAAAGTTTTTCAGTGTCATTACATATCAAATGAAAATATTCACAGGATAGCTCACCCAGTTAGTTTATCATCCTGTAAGATATAATATAAGATTAACCTAGCAACGTGATTTCACTAACTTGAGCTTTTCGATTTGTTCAACTCATTTTATTTTACATTCTGAGGTTGTTTTTCTCCATGAAATGCTATTGTACAATGGATGCCCTAAGAAAATGATTAAAAACTTAACCAAGATGTTTCTGAACAAAATTTGTAAAACACCCATGAAAATGTTAACAGTGGATAATTGTCAAGTTTCAACGACTATCCTCTACCTAAAACAACAAAGTATCATGTCTTCTAAACCATTTAAGTCATTAATAAGAAAATTCTTCCAACAGGTAATACTTAACACTATTTTTAAACTGTCCTTTATAGTAAAACATCTTTTCAAAACAAAGGATTCTCTGCTTATCTCTTGTTGAAATTGTACTGTCTATAAATACCCATTGTTAATGCAAGGCCATCTATGTCAGAAAATCTTAATGTTACTTTCCCATACACACCCACGAGCATGGGGTATTATCTTTATGTAAGTAACATCCTTTTAAGTCCATACAATTTGGCAATCCAGAATCACTGATATGAAACTGAACGTCTGATAATTCACTCAGGATTCACTATTGTACATGTGATAGTAATTCCAACTTTCAACTGTTAATCAAACAAAGTTTTTTCTTAAAACAAATCATTTTTTTTAATGCGACTCAGTCTTCCTATACATTTAAATTTTTAAAAGCAACTATTGCAATAAAATAATTTTATAATAAACAACTGTATAAATATAATGTGTGTTAAAAAAAATATTTGAAATTTGTTCACCTACTCTGATACTGTTTCTAGATAGTCAGTTTAAATATTGTTGGTTAATTTTATTGTTGTTCTTGCTTCACACTATTAAAACATTCATTTCATCTTGTATATTTCCACTTTGCTTAATTAATATTTTTTTGTGTCTGATGATCTAAATAGAGAGTGGAAACATTGATGTTTATATTTATAAATGTATGTACTTATATCTGATAAACATCTCATAAGTTTGAAACAATGAGGTACAGTATTTCTTTGCAATTATTATTTTATTTTTAAGTTGAAAAACTTTTACATCATACAAATGTTATGTGTTGTTACAAAATGTTAATTTCATCTTTTAGACTGTGCTGAAAGAAACCCAGAATTTGGTGTTTACCATTCCAGTATATGAGCCTCTCCCTAGTCAGTACTTAGTACGAGCTATCTCTGATCATTGGCTAGGATCTGAGTCCACAACACCAGTATCCTTTCAACACTTGATTCTTCCAGAGAGGCATCCACCCCACACAAGTGAGTTAATTTAACTTTACACACTGTTTACCTGGTGTACACAAATTAACTAGTACATTGTTTTGCTTAGTTACATAAGTCAGTGGTACATCTCTATAAGAAAGGTTAATTTGTACATACTTATGCTCTTGTCTTCTATATAAATAAAATAAGGGTTTTGTCTGTACATTGCTTAGAATAGTGTACTTTTTGCATATCTTCATGTTTCATACACCAGAGAAGCTGAAACAAGCCTTATCTCAATTTCTGTCTGTCTGTGTGTCTGTCGGTAACACTCGTGGACGTGTATTTGTTCGCTTTTCACGGGAAAATGAGTGCACTGTTTTCGATGAAACTTTTTTCTTTGTTTTATAGATGTGTAAGAAGGTTATAGGCTACTTGAAACTGTCATACGCCTTTTGGAAAGAAAATGGCGGCTGCTCAAAAA